CGCGGAGCCATCGCTTGCTGCCAGGCCGTGGCTTTGGGAGAGAAGGGCGCTTTGTTTATATCTTTACGTTTAAGAGTGTCATAGCCTCGGGGGCATTGGTCATCGCGGCCTTGGGAGCGCGGACCGATTGTCTTTGTACGAGGGATCTTGGGTTCGGGAACGCGGATCCACGGTCTGTTATGCACGGACCCCTCGTTTTTAGGCAGGGTTTGTCTCATCGAGAACGCAGAACCACAGTTTGGTACTGAAGATCTTGGCCTCGGGAGCGCGGATCCATAGCTGCTGTGCGAGGGATCGTGGCTTCGGGAATGCGGAGTCGACGGGGGGCGCGCGCGCATTCTCAGCAATTTAGAATTTCTTTTCCTCAGAAAATGGTCAGCTCTGTGACCTGAGAACTGGTTACTAGAGAATCACGGTTGCCAAGTTGCTGAGCCTTTGAGGTACGACAACGCTGCAAATACCTCATTGCGTTGTTGGAGCTAGTCCGAGCAGCCCCCGGAATTTTAGCCGCGCAGCCTGGCGGCCACCGCAAAAAGAGCGCGGGCGGAATACTCCTACTCGCCACTCGTTTAGCCCTCTTCTCTTGCTGATCGTTTCTCCTCATCCTCCTCCTCCTCTTCCACCGTTCCCAGCCCGTCATCATTCCCTCCCGTAGCCCATCCCACCGCCTTGTCCGTTCCCTTCCTTCAACTCTTGGCCGCTGTGAAGCAAGGCGCGTGATGGATAAGCTTACGGTGGAGGTCAGCGTGGAGATCTCCGAGCGTGTCTCGCACGGACGCGGGCTTCTCTTTCGTCAATCTTCCTTGGAACACGCAGGCAGTCCTTGCCGTGGCACGGTCTTTTGGTCAAGGAGTGCACCCGTGAGGGTGGTTCCACGGAGCACTACGGGCCGATCGGCCGAAATACATTGATGATGATTGTGATATCGAGTTTGGCGATGATAGCGGCTTGATCTACGCTTGCCGCCAAAGCATGGTCCGGAGTGGACGGGGCGTTCACGCGAGGCTAGGGGGCTCTCATGTAAGGCTCCCTAACGCCCGCCCAGGCTGGGTGCGTGAGGCCTCATCTCAGCTTCGGTTGCGCAGGCGAGTTGGTCGTGATTGTTTTGATAGCCATGGTAAAGAATCCGACGGCGATGGTGGTGATGGAGATGGTGATGGTTCTTATGGTTTGGGTGATTATGCTGGTTAGGATGGATGCGATGGTGATGGCGATGAGGATGACGATGATGAAGACGACGACGACGATGATGATGATGACGATGTTGATGTTGATGTTGATGATGCTCTTGATGTTGATGATGCTGATGCTCATGTTCATGCTCATGCTGATGCTGATACCGACGATGATGGTGATTGTGATGGTGGTGATGATGATGGTGACGGTATTGATGTTGGTTATAATGCGGATGAGGACGATCATGGTGAGGATGAGGATGGTGATGATGTTGATGATGATGGTGGTGATGATGATGTTGATGAAATGATGAAATCATGATGGCACGGGATGATGTTGAGACGGTGATGACGACAGTGAGGATGTTTTGATGATGACTGTGAAGGTGGTGATTATGATGCTGTTGATGGGGATCGTATTGGTATCGATGTTGATGGTGATGATGATGGTTGATATGATGATGCTGATGATGATGATGATGATGATGATGATGATGGTGATGGTGATGGTGATGAATGATGCTGATGAGTCTGATGATGATGCTGATGACGACAACGACGACGACCAGGACGAGAAGAAGGAGGAGGAGGAGACGACTGCAACGAGGAGAAGGAGGAGGAGGAAGAGGAGGAGGAGGAGGAAGAGGTGGAAATGGCGCTGCCTGGGCGAGAACGCCGCGGCAGGCGGCCGGGCAAGACCCCGGTGCTGCGGGCACGGGCCCACGGGATGACCCCCGCGCGGTCCTGCAGGCCCCGGCTGTGCGGGGTGACGGGCGCGCACGATGGGATGGAAGGGGGAAGCGGCGTGCCGTGGGGCGGTGCGGAGAGGGCACTCGGGCCCGTTATTTTGGTTTGGTTCGGGCAAGTGTACTTGCATGGCGTTCTCGCCCCCCCCCCTCCTCGCCTGTTTTTTGGTTTGGTTCGGGCAAGTGTACTTGCATGGCGTTCGCCCCCCCCCCCCCCCCCCGCCTCCCTTTCCACGCCCCATCTTCAGACGAACAATGGCGTGCATGTGCCTTTCGCCTCGCGTGGTCTCCGCACGCGCAAGTCGTTTGCGGCCTGCTTCAGGTTCAGATCCATCCACCCCCCTCTCCATGCAAGTACAATTGCCGGAGTCTAAAGACAAGCAGGCTCATCTCAGTCGGCAGCCCCAGACCCCCTCGCTCTGCGCACAGAATCACCACGGGCGGTTTTTCGCTACGTTCGGCCTCCGGGGCAGCTCCCCCCCCCGCTTCCCCTCCTCCAAGACATCCGACGTCGTGATTTCTGCGCAACGTGAAGACCCCCCCTGGGGAGCGCGTTTTCATTCTGAGCCGACGTTTGGCGGTCCGACCCGGTCAGGGCCGAACGTTGTGACAAAACGTCCATCGCGTTTGTTTCGCAACGCGAGGAAGTTGGATTTGTTGGTTGTACTTCCTCTCTTTGGCAGCCTCTCTTGAGCACCCCGGGAACGCCTTCGGCAGAGCGCAGTTACTGGAAGAGCGCATCGAGTCCAGAAAATCTCCAGGAATCTGCGAAAACAGCGCGCGCCTGTCTGGGATTCCTCGCACCCCCCAGACATCCAACGAGATGGGTTTTTTTTATCCGCGGCCCCAGGGCTCCCGACAACCTTTCCCCGGGTGCAGCTTTCCATCCCAGATGCGTTCTTTTCGGCCCTGGGGCCCGACAGTGGTCCCCAGAGGCCGAAATCAGGGAGGACCCTTAATGCAGCCTCCGAGGGGCCGCGCCGACTGATGGCGGTGGACACGAAGCGCTGCTGGCGCTTGGCGCGACCGAGCCACACAAGGACGACGGCAGGGGCTGAAAAAATCAACCGTCGGAGATCTGGGCCCCCCGTGGCTCTCGGGCCGCAGCTTGGGCCTGCAGCGGCCGTGGTTCGCGCGCCCCACACACAGAGCAGTCCTCGACAGGGCGCGGCCGCTGAAAAGCATCCCGAGGCCAGCGAACCGAGGGAATCGGATGAGAACGCGCTGCGTTCTCGAATTGGGCACAGTCTCTCGCCGCGTCCTCACAGACCCGGGCCCGGCGCCAGAGGACGCACCCAGATCGTGCTGACCATAGAGAGCCTCGGGGAGCTCCGCGCCAGGCGCGCGGGCGAGGCGGGCCCGGGCGGCGCCCCCGCCGGCCCGGCGGGGCGGGCGGGGGGCGGGGGCGGCTGCGGTCACCGGAAGGCAGGAGGAGAAAAGGGGGGGCACGAGGAAGGGGAAGGAATGGGAAGGGGAAAGGAAGAGGAGGAGGAGGAGGAGGAGGAGGAGGAGGAGGAGGAGGAGGAGGAGGAAGAACAGGACCAGCGCACACCCTAGATTCATCAGCGATGTCGGAGTAAAGCCATCCAAGCTTCCTCCTCACAGGCCCCAGCGCGCCATTGAGAGACAACCGTTTGAAGATGTCGAAACGTTCCAAAACACCATTATCGGAACGCCAACATCACGGATAAACTTGACTGTTGCGTCTTTGCGACCTTGAATCGACTTCAACACCGCAATTAAACGCAACTGTTGTGATTTGACAACCCGGAATCACTCCAAACACCAGCGCTTTTGCGCTCGCCGTGGGAACCCGCGAAATTATGGCAATTGTTTAAGACGAGCGCGCGCGGCGCAAAGGCGAGAACCACAGCTTGAAAATTAACCACTCCATGAAGCTCCTCAATTTTAAGACGAATTCGCGCGGCGCCCAGGCAAGAGCCGCATTTTGGTAACGGCCCGCCCTCCATATGTGAAGTCGTTGCCAGTTTGTTGAGTTCCAGGCGAGGACGTCTCAGGCGAAACGCCCGCCCCGCGTTCGGAGTTGGAGGCTGTGTCCGAACGTCCGAAGCCACGTATCAGATTGACTGCAAGGCCACCCTGGCACGCTTGCAGGACCCTGCACTCGCGCAAAGCAGCTCATGCTCCAGGGCGCGCTTGTGGGCTAGAGTTTTCCATGCGTTTGACGACCTCGCCCCTCCCTCGGTCAAAGTCAACGTCCATACGTCGTGGACCGACGTCGCTCAAGGGAGGAGCAGCCAACTACACAAGCCCGGGTCGGATCATGTCGATCGTTTCGCCAAGTTTGGAGGTCAGTGCCACCCTTTCCACGGAGCAGGCAGTCAGAATTGGCAAGGTTTCTTGCTCTATCGCCCGTCGTGCGGGCAGGTGGGCTGGCGAGCATGAAGTTCGAATGGCCGACATTAAGATCCGTGATGTTGAGGAGCTCCCATGTTCTCGTTTTGGCCCCAAGGGTCCTGGACCGCAACTGCGGTTCCCGTCGATCGCTGGGGGTTTCCGTCGTTTTGCGGTCCCAAGGGTCCCCGAGAGGAGTTCAGCGTGTTGCCGTTTCCAGCCGCTACTTTCAAGCGACACTTTTGGGGGAAACGGTAAAAAAACGGCACTGCCGTTTCCGGGGCCCACTACAGGAAGGAGGATGAGGAGGAGGAGGAGGAGGAGGAGGAGGAGACAGTGAGGAGGAACCAGAGACGTTTGGGGAGAGTTGTGGCTTGAGACATTGTTTTTGTTTCTCTTGCCGCAACAGCATTCGTTCGCCGAGCCGCCCACCCAACGAAACCCAGCGGGATCCGTTCCGCGCTTGCGCAGAGCACGGACGCATTTCAAGAGGAGGCAGGAGGTCGCGGAGGAGCACGAGGAGGAGCAGCAGCAGGAGGGATGGAGGCGGAGAGGTCTAGGATTCTGAGGAGGTCGAAGGGGAAGAGGAGGAGGAGCAGGAGGAGGATACGTCGCTTCGGCTCGGCGATCGACCGTTGGAGCTGAGCGAGGCGCGAGGTCTCGCCCCCACGGTGCGGCACCAGATGTCGCGCTAGAACTTCGAGGGCCGCCCCCCCTTGGCTTGGCATCGCTCGGACGTGTGCATTTTTCCTTCGGCGAGGGCCATCGAGGAGCATCCTTGATCATTTGGCAAAAAGGCCACGCTCGAAACCGAAAAAAACACAGGGAGTGGACGTCCGAGCGATGGCGAGGTGGCCACGCTGCAGGAGGAGGACAACCAGGGCACGGAGGAAGACGGAGACGGGGTCGGACCGGATCTGCTAGGGAGGGAAGTGGAGCGTCCCCAAGGGGGAGGACCGGCGAGGAGGCTTGGCATGGCCTGGCGGGTGCCCCAGCCGTTGGTGCCCAGACCAATGAGCACCCCTCCTCCTCCCCAGACCTCCGACCTCTTGCTCTTTTCACGGAGAGGACACCCGGAAGTCCCGAACCCCCTTCTCCCCGGGCCAATTTCGCATGCCAAGTCGTTGTTTGACAGTCCCGGGGCCCAGCAAGCGCCACCACGGGAAAATAAGATTGAAAGCATGTCAGCCATATTCTTTCTCGTGACGCGAGGATGTCTGGCTGTCCAAACATAATTCCAGTCTCTGGCGGCGGTTCGAGACGATCCGGGCAGCCCCAGAACGCCTACGGCGAGGCGCAGCTGCTGAAAAGCACCGCGACGCCGGAGCACCATTTTGGGAATCAATGAAAATTACCGAGAACCTCCAAAGCCTCCTCCCCTCTCCACTGTTCCTCCTCCCCCTCTGCTTCCTCCTCCTCCTCCTCCTCCTCCTCTTCCTCCTCCTCTTTCTACTCCTCTTCCCCCTCCTCCTCCTCCTCCTCCTCTTCTCCCTCCTCCTCCTCCTCCTCCTCCTCCTCCTCCTCATCCTCCTCCCTTCTCCTTCCCCTCATCCTCCTCATCCTCCTCCTGCTGCTCCTCCTCCTCCTCCTCTTCCACGGCGCGAGGCAGATTACCTGGCGCCGCTGCAGCGTCGATTGAGGGTGTCCGGCCCCGGGTGCCTTCCCCGCTTGGCGGCGCGACGCAGGGGGCCCAACAGCAGAAGGAGAGCACGAGGAGGATGACGAGAAGTGGGAGGGCACGAGGAGGATGAGGAGGAGGACGAGGAGGAGGACGAGGATGAGGACGAGGAGGAGGAGCAAGAGGTGGAGGAGGAGGATGACGAGGAGGAGGAGCAGGAAGGGGAGGGAAGAGCAGGAGGAGGAGGCGAAGGAGGAGGACAGGGAGGGCACGACCTGAGTAAGAGGAGGAAGGGGGAGAGAGATGAGGAGGAGGAGGAGGAGGAGGAAGAGGAGGAGGAGGAGGAGGGAGGAAAAGAAGGAGAAGGAGGAGGAGGAGGGGGATAACCAAGGTAACCAAATACCCATCAACGATGTTGCAATAAACACGACTTCCACGCTTCCCCTGTGTAGTCCCCATACAAGGTTTCATTTTCATTCAAGGAAATGCCCCGTTTGAAAACAACCGAATTGAAATCCTGAGCTGTACCAGAACATCATTTGTGGAATCCTGAATCGCGCCAGAGCACCAGTACAGGGACTTCAGCACAACCAATCAACGTAACTGTTGCGCCCTGACAGTCCGACACCGTGCCAAAACGCCATGTCTGGGACGTTAGCCATGGGAATATGATGGAACTACTTTCAACTCGTAACACGATTGTGCGCAGCGCGATGGCGAAAGCCACATGTTGTAAACCACCCGCCCTCCATCCGTGAAGCTGTCGCTGTTTTTGAGACGAGACCCGCTGCGCTCAAGCGAGAACCACATTTTGAAAAAGAACCGCCCTCCATTCATGAAGCCGATGCAGTTTTTTGTGACGAGTGTGCGCGGCGCTATAGCGAAAGCCACATTTTGAAAACCACCGGCCCTCCATCCGTGAAGCTCTTGCAATTGTTAAGAGTCAGGATCATAAATGATGAAAAATATCAGGCAAAACGCCCGGCACGCCGTTCCGAGCTGCTTCGGGGTGCGGCAGGGAAGAGTTATTCATAAGGAAAAGGAATGGAGGTGAAGGAGGAGGGTAGGGAGAGGCCAGGGAGGCGAGGGAGGAGGAGGAGGAGGAGGGGGGAAGGAGGAGGGAGGAGGGGCCAGAAGAGAAGAAAGGGGTGAGGGCAAGGTGAAAGGAGGGCATTGGGAGGGGAAGGAGGGGAAGGAGGAGGGGGAGGAGGAGCAGAGAGGGAGGGAAGAGGGAAGGGAAGGAGGGCGGAATGGAAGGAAGGAGGGAAGGAACAGGAGAAGGAGGGAGAGTGGGAGGGGGGAGGGACGGATGAGATGAAGGACGGGGGGATGGGAGGGAGGAGAGGGGGGTTGAGCATCGAATCCGAAACATGAATTTTCGGAGGTCCGCGTAGATTCCTTGGTCTGCGCTGGACCCCCCTGGCGGCGCCTCCAGCGCCGATCCAAGAAACCCGCACGAAGCTTCAAAAGATTCATGCTTGTGCAAGTGGTGTTGTTCTAGAGGAGGGGGCAGTGGAAGGGTAAGAGACGGAAGGTGAGGGGATGGGCGACGGCAGGAATGCAGTCATCCACTCACAGGTTCGATGCGTCATCCCTTGGGCAATTGTCTGTGATTCCACGGTTGGCCAGGCTAAGCTGGAGGCGCATGACGACCTTACATGGAACATGTGTTTGTTGAGCATGCGAGACTTTAGAGTTCTGTCATTGAGGTGCCCGCGTGCACGCTGAAAACATCAGAAGGAGCCCGACCAGGGAATCGCGCATCTGGGGCATTGTTGTTCTAAACTCAGCTTTGTGCCGCTGTGCCGCGCACCATGCTCGCAGTGTTGCGTGCGCGCTGCCAGTTGGGGCTGCGCCATGTGCGCGGCGGCGTTGTATTGTCCATGGCTCCATGTGCGTAACTTGCGTGGGACGCGTCTCTCACCATAGCAGGAAAATATGAAAGACATATGACATAGTAGTACACCAGATCAGCTCAATTCACTACGTCACAACATGTCTCGCGAGCCCCTCCGCCACCGACGATTAGTAGAATAGTAACATGCGCCGCGCCCGAGCGGGAACGCAACTTTCGAATAAGTAGTGCGTAGCACAGTGGTGCATTCTACGTGTGGCCCAATCCACACGGTGCAGCCCATGCGGTTCTACCGATGCGAGACGAGCTAAATGGTGCGGTCTATGTGGCCCATCGTGTGCAACATATGTGGGGCAAGATGTGTGATGGAATCTATACAGTGCGCTCTACGCAAAATGCGTGTGCAGCCTGAATGTTGCAATCTATGTGGTGCGTGCACCAATGGGCGCCAGGGCGTCAGCCATAGGGCACCACGGCCGGCGACCGCTGCCGCAAGTCACAAATCACAATCATAGCGGTCACCGCCCTTGGTGGCGCCATAGGGCACCACCAAGGGCAGCGACGGAGTGCGTGGAGGTTGTGATTGTCTGTCCCGGATTGAGCGCCAGAGCCAAATCTGCGGCACGCCAGGCCAAGCCGGGACCCAAACTAGGCAACTACCGAAAAGTTGTCAGCCGAAGCTTGCTCGTGGAGGCCTCGCGATACAAATGACAACACGAGTGCGAAGGCCCCTCGCACGCAATAGACACATCGGGGGTGGACAGACCTCCTACCCTGACACGTCGATTAGCGAATTGGCCGTTTCCGGTTCGCGAGAGGGCGTCGCGGCCGTCATTTTTGCGGGTCCAGGTCCGTTGGTTTCGGTCCCAGACTGCTTTCACTAAAGGGAGGTTAGCTAAAGGGAGATTTGTCCACCCCCGAACACATTGGATATTGAGTTCCCTGAGGACGGCAGGACACAAACGCTCAAGAAGGACCACCCCCGCAGGGCGGTCCGCCAGGCCCGCGCTACTTCGACGAACTCGAGGAGCCCTGGTCGCCACCACCGGACGACTTCGAAGGGGACGACTTGGACCCTCTCGGGCCCGGGGCCTTGCTAAACGACGACGGAGCCACTGACCTACCTCCTCATGATCCGCTTCTAGGCGACGGCATTGCAGTCGAGGGCCACCACGACGCGCTCAGCCACGTCGTAGTCGTCGTCGGCGGCGGCGGCGGCTTCGTCGTCATCTTCGTCGTTGTCGCCGTCGCCGTCGCCGTCGGCGTGGAGCCCTTTTCGGTCAGATGACGGTCGCCCAGGAGCGTCGGGTCCTGGTGGGTACCCCGAATCCCCTCCTCAAACCCCCCTCCCCATGCGGCCCACCAGGGCTCCGATGGGGGTGGGCGCGAGGGTAGGGATGTCGACCAACGCCACGCCACCCGCACCGCCCAATGCATGGACCGCAGGCACGCCCTGACGCAGCCTCTCGCTGCGGCGAGTAGTCAGCCCCGCGCGGGGCCGCGACGCCACTCTCGTCGCCAGCATGCGCGCGCCCCACCAGCAAGCCGACCAGCAGGCGTCTTCTCGTTGATGGACAAAATCCTGTACCTTTTTAAAAAGATGTTTGTTTTCGTCCTCCGCGCCCCCCAGTTGATCTTGGCAGGCTGTGGCGCGAGTTGTCGATCCGCCGACGGGCCCGAATCCTGCGCCCCGCCGGCGCAGCCAATCAACCTTTGAATCGGGGGCAGGGGGGCGCGTGGAAGTCTGCGCCGTCGCCCCGGTTGCGCGGCAGGTGCAGGATTTTGCCCATCAACCTGCCCTGCACCGAGTCCAGGAACAGCCAGCCCCGCTGCCGGACAGGTTCCGACGAGCGCAAGAGGCCTGGAGCGGCCTGCAGCGGGCCTCTCGGCCCACAGTGGCCCCGGGGGGCGCCCCTCCACGGCAGCCTCCCGGCCTCCGCCGACGCCCGCCGTGCGGCACACCAACTGTTATCACCCCTCCCTATCAAGTCGAAGAAGGAAGAACGCCATACGCAGAAACTGTTGGCGCTCCGCGCGGATTTCTTGGATCCGCGCTGGACCCCCCCCCACCCCCGGCGGCGCCTCCGCCGCCGCCCCCGGCGCGCTCCGCGCGCCAGGGAGGGCGGGGGGCCCAGCGCAGATCCGAGAAATCCGCGCGGAGCGCCAAGAGTGTATGTGTATGGCGCTTTCTCTGCTTCCAATTATCGGGCCGCGCCAACACGTGGCGCCTGCTCCGCCACCAGCTCTCCTGGACCGCTGCGGGCGATGCCCCAGGGCGGTGCCGCCCACCTCTCCCGTGCTCCGCACATCGCGAGTGCCAACGCTCAGCGAGCGAAGAACGGTATAACATAAACTTTTTCGCCGTCGGGGACACCTGCCCCTGGGCGGCTGGAAAGTTTATACCCCTACGGTGCCACCGTAAGGGTATAAACTTTCCAGCCGCCCAGGGACAGGCGCCCCCGACGGCGAACAAGTTTATTTTATACCGTTCTTGGCCCGTTAAAGCGCGCGTGTCGAAGGCGACGCTCCTGTCACGTGGGTGCGCAGGCGGGCTCACTGAGCAGCTTGGTCAGCGCCTGCCCGGCTTGCTTTTCCCAGCCGAGCGCGCCAGGCGCCCCATTGAGCGGCGGCGCGCGGCCCCGAGCGCCCTCGAGCGCCGCCGCGAGCGCGCGGTCAATTCGTGTCCTACCCGCCCCCCCCGCGAAACTTGATTTTTAAATCGTGTCGTTCCCAGTTGTTGTATCGCGGGCCCCTCTTAGGCCGCGCAGGGGGGAGGGGGTCAGCGTGCCACCCCTGGTTCGGGCGCGGCGCCCGGCCGCTCTGTGGGGAGGGCCTGTGCGGCGCTCGCAGCAACGGGGCCTGACGGACTTCGGCTCGTCGAGCTGGTGCGATCTCTCTCTCTCTCTCTCTGTCTCTCTCCTCCCTTCCTCCATCGCACTCTCTCTCTCTCTCTCTCCCTCTCTCTCTCTCGCTTCCTTTAAATATATGTATATGTTCTCTCTCTCTCTCTCTCTCCCTCCATTTCCCTCTCATTATCTCTCTCGCCTCTCTATTTCTCCCTCCATCTCCCGGTCTCTCTTTCTCCCTCTGTCTTTCTCGCTCCTTCTGTATATCTCTCTCCTTATTTTGTCTCTCTCTCTCTCTCTCTTTTTGTCTCTCTCTCTCTCTCTCCGTAAGGGCTT